TAATAATAATATGCATGTAAAATAACTAGAAAATCTAAATGTTTAATAAACAAATATAAACTTACCCTGTTTTTGCAAAAGTTGCCCAGTATTTCAAAATAGATCTGCTCAGTGCTTCCTCTGCTTTGGTATAATTCACTTTTCTCTCTAGAGGTAGTCCGAAGACAAACTCTATTTCATAACCATGTGGAACCCCCATCCACTCTGGCCAAGCCAGTTTAGAAGATCTGTGCTCAAAGAAGTATAAGAAACCATTGTTCCCGGACTTCACAAAATATTTTATGAATTCCACCACAGGGCATATAAAATTGTAGTCCCCTATGATCTCACCCATGGCATCACGATAATAGAAAGGATTCTGCTCAACTTCCCCGTCCGTATAGTGAAAAGCAATACTTTCCAGCCCAATTTCAGTCATTTCTGGAAAGGCAAATTTCAAGCTGGCCCAAAATTCGGTTTCGTTGATAAGACTGTCAGTATCTTTACTGAAGCCTGGTGCACCATACACCAGAAATGGCGCCCCTTCATCTTTGTTGATGCCCATTAATATCTGTGTTTGTTTAAATTTTCCATTCTTCAGTAAAGTGACCGGTTTATCAGTGAGAAAGTCACCATCGACGACTGGAATGAAAGGCAGTTCCAGAAGAGAGCTGGATGTTAAGACGGTGCCCTGTTTGTTAAATATATCCTGGGGATCTTTGTTTTGAAGGCAAGAAATGATCTCTGTTTCATTGTTGCTCATGCAGTGAAGGACTTGGGCAAGCGCTAGAGTTCTCCTCCTAGCTTCAGTGGGAAGAAGGGTACCCCAGGGGGAGTTTCCAGCCCCACTTTGCATGATTGCTCTAGTGAAGAGAGAATGGCTTTGAGGAGAAAGAATATGGTGGGCAACACAACCTGCTCCAGCACTCTCTCCAAATAATGTAACACTCTTAGAATTGCCACCAAAAGCTGCTATGTTATCCCGGACCCACTGAAGTGCTAGCCGTTGATCAAATAACCCTACATTTCCTGGAGCGTCTTCATTTCCTGGCAAAGCCAAAAATCCTAAAGCCCCTAACCTATAATTCATCGAAACAACAATGACTCTCTCCACTCGGGCTAGAAACTTGCCATCATAGACATACAGTGACGACGTTCCAGTCTGGAAGCCACCTCCATAAATCCATACCATGACAGTTGCATTTTTAGGTTTTGGGGAAGGAACCCACACATTGAGGTAGAGACAGTCTTCACTGAGGTTCGTGTTTGGGTTCCACATCTCCGACCCAACAAATCCAGGGAAAGTATCATCTCTATTCTGAAAACAAGAGTTTGCATGTCTGGTGGCATCCCAGATCCCACTCCATGGTTCTGGAAGTTGAGGCTTCTTGAACCGAAGGTGACCAATAGGTGGTGCTGCATAAGGAATCCCAAGGAAAGTAGTTACTGTTCCACCAAGCACGGGCAAATTAACACCTCTCACCCTTCCATTCTTAGTGGTAATGATTGTGTCATCCTCTGGGAGCACCTTCTTCACAAACATGCAGAGCAATAGAAACGAAAGGAGAATTCTCATTTGGCCACATGCCACATTAGTGTGCATGGCAATTCCTACAATGAAGAAAAAGAGGTGAATTTAAGCAGACTCCAGAAATAACAAGGAGCTGTTCCATTTGGAAATATGACGGAATTCTCATTTGGCCACATGCCCCATTCGCGTGCATGGCAATTCCTAAAATGAAGAAAAAGAGTGAATTTAAGCAGACTCCAGAAATACAAGGAGCTGTTCCATTTGGAAATATGACCTTAATATCTTAACAACATTGGAAGACAGTCCAGGGGAGATCTAGAGAAGACAATCTCAAAGGCTTCAGCAAAAATGGGAACTGTGGTTGAGCTATTCTAATGCATCTAAAACCCACTGAATTTCTGGTAAAAAATTCCCCTAGTAGGAAGGCCACTCATGTCAGATGAGTGAGGCAGCAAGAAGGCTGCAGGTGCAGTGGGGCTACTGGTCCACCATCTTATTTCATATCCTCAAGCCTGTCTTCTGCTACTCTTCCTTGCTATTGCTCTTTTAAGCTGTGGTGTAGGGAAATGTGATTCAACCTGGGACAAAGCTCTGTGTGATCATGCCATATGTTGGAAATTTGAATTTAATAATGAACAATTCCACTCCCACCAGTCCTGGGACATCTTCCATAGGGCATGAAATTAACAGTCAGAACAATGGGCTAGCAGAGTACTCTTTCACATGTCTAGAGAATGAGTTCTATGTTGGATATGGAATTGTTCTTCATCAAACAAGTCAGCGTGGAAAAGACCACAAGCAAGTAAAAAGATATGAAAAACATGAATTCAGGCTATTATTTGCTAAATGATAGCCTTGATTGTACATGCACATGCCAGTTCAGTTTAGGCAAAAGATAATTATATCAGAGCTAATGCTACCAATTCTGGCATCCAGGTCTTTGCTGCTGTATCGATTAAGCTTGGACTACATGGGAGTGTCAGAAGAATCTCATGGGTCTGAATGTGCAACAGCTATATTGGCTCCATGCTAAGACTGCCTGTTTTGTAATTTCTTCTGCCTGGGAAGGAGGAGCTGAAAGAAGTATATGCATTCTGGACATGCAGGTTCATAGCTTTCCAACAGCTCATACCAATGAGTGGGTTCAAACTAGAGAATGGCATGAAAAAGGTGGTTCATGGTTTGTGGTTAGCTATGAACCATGAACCAACCAGAAAATCAAACTGCAAAAAGGTTTGGTTTTTTTTATTTGTGCCGGTGGTGGTGGGGTACCATGTCCTGTGGCTTCACCACCACTGTGGCACCACTTCCACACCAGCACTGCTGCCAGTGCCGCCATGCAACAGAATCCCAAGGAAGGTAGGAAGATAATAGGGACAGCAGAAAGGGGGGAGGGGGCATCCATTTTGCTGAAGTAAACCAAATCGAGTGGAAAAAAGTTCAGGGTTCTGTTTCATTTTGGCAAAACTGGTAGCAGGAACTGAATTATGAACCAGTCTGGTTTGTGTGTATGTATTTTTCTACATGTTTCACTTCAGTTTATGCCAATCTCTTGTTCAAACCTTTCCAAGGAGCATATCATTCTGTTTTGTAGAGTTCAGGACCCTAACTCAATGTTTCAAGTTGCTCTACCCTAGCTATGACTATGAATGCTGCATTGGAAATAACTGATTTTGTATCTAGGAGAATGAGTTTCTAAAACTGGCCATGCCTTGTTGTGTACTTGAGAAAAGCTAGAAGATTTTGTAAAATCCATCTTGTGCATTTCATCAAAAGAGGAGGGACAAATAAACATATTTCATTAAAAATTGTGTTTCTACACTAAGTTTGGGAATCAACATATTAATAACTATTTCAGATTTCAGACTTTGACCTTGGCCTTAAGAAATACACAGGGAAAGCCTTCCCAATAATATTGCAAACACTTGGGTATTCACAGTAATTTCCCCTTGAAGGAGAAGGAAAGATAAGGGAAAGGATTCTGTGTCCTCATTACCATCATTTTAAACCGTCTGCTCTTGGTTATTGAGAGGTATTTCTGTCCTTAAAAGGAGTGGAGTGAATTTCTGTGTAAAATACAGCTGTGCAGCTCATTTAGGGCCTGTTTTGCTTGTTGCCTGGTCCAGATTGAAAGCTGAGAGTAGAAAATAGGAGCATTTTTGCTTGAAGTGCTTCCTAAGTATGAGAGCATCAAAGGAACTGAAGGAAAGAGGGGGATTATCACAGACAATATTTCACAGATTCAGTTGAATGCAAGAGCAAATAAGAAGCCACCACATACATGCTGAGTTTTGAGGGAAAGGATTTAAACTAATAGTAGATCTTGTGTAAAGCCTCTTGCGGTGTTCATAAAGAACTGTAGAACATTATCTAGCATTAATTCTGGCCTTAAACTTTACTCACTTAAGATCTTACAAGAACCTGCACATCTATGAACTTTATGCATACCAGGTGTTCTATAATGAACAAACTGCTTTGGAATATCTGTAAAATGCTTGCACAGGCGTTTGGTACAGGCACAGCTTTGGCTACAATTTATCATGTGTTAGGGGCACATGCAGGTAAGGATGAAATCCATTTATTGTACTAATTTGTTAGGTATAGTCCTTGAGTTGTGAAACAGTAAAATAAAAAAGATCCCAACAACCTGGCATATTGATAGCCAGGAACTATTTTTTTCTAGTTGAGGCAAAAACAATTTAAATGGGCAAAATCCTGTTCCATCAAGTTATGCCAGCATAAACCAAATCTGACAGTGGTAATATTTAATTTAAATGAATAAAAAGCCTCGTGGCACAGTACTTAAACTGCAGTACTGCAGGAAAGACTCATGGCACAGTACTTAAACTGCAGTATTGCAGCCAAAACTGCTCACGACCTGGGGTTCAATCCCAGGTAGCCGACTCGAGGTTGACTCAGCTTACTATGCTTCTGAGGTCGGTAAAATTAGTGCCCACCTCACTGGGGGGGGGGAGAGCAATGTGTACCCTGCATAATTAACTTGTAACCCACCTAGAGAGTGCTTGAAGCACTATGGGGTGGTATATAAGCAGCATGCTTTGCTTTTGTGTCTGTAGGACTCCCTGGAGCAGCCTGTGGGTGTATTGGGATGGTGGGAAAAGGCTTTCACAGTGAAAAAAAATCACTTGATCACTGCCACCAGGATCAAGAAAACCGGTGACAATTTTTGACTATTAATGTTTCCCTCAATCCCGAGGGTCCTGAAGACTTGGAATCCAAAGGGGAGGTGTAACGGGATAGGAAGTTTTAAATTCATTGTGATTACTTATTTCCTGCATCAAATCTGGTTTATGTCAGTCTGATTTTGCACAACAGGATTTGCGCCAGTATTTATGCATATTTTATTTATGTAGGTATGTTTATGTAGGCATCTCAGAAGCACCAAGGGCACAATACAACACATAATTAATTAAGGGGCCAAGCTTGGGGGCACAGCACATCTCTGCTCACAACAATGAAAATTATACTACGACGACAGTTCCAAAAATGCCATAAAATGGATTTGCAAAGGAATTAAACATTTTGTCAATATTAAAACCAAGACTAAAACAGTTTTTTAAAAATTTAAACTCTCTAGATTTAATAATAATAGCATTCCTGATAGCCCCACATATGGCTTAAAAGCCTGCCTGGGTTATAAACCACCTCCAAGTATTCTGTACGTAGAAAATCCTGGGAAAGATCACAATAAGTCAGAACTATCTTGATGACATGCAGTTAGTTAATTTATAGACAATATCAGTGATAACAATTGACATCACGTGGGGAATTACAATTTTAAATTCCTTTTAAAGTTAAGGAACAGGAGTATTGTCTTTCAAATGCATCACTAGTGCACAAACTGAATTAATTGTACCTAGAAACAGAAAATCAGTGTCTAGACTGAGTGAGTTGGCCAGTGATGTGCTATTCTTGTGGAATAATCATACACCATCTGAAATATGGAAAATAAGCTATTTCTTTGTCACTCAGGAAGAAAACAAATGTTGGAAAGGCTGCTTAACAACATTTCCACAACAGCATTCAATTTTGTGAATACCACCCCATATACACATTTTACTCAATTTTTTCTCAGGTAGAGAAAACTTACCTACCCTTCTGTCCTAATCATTTTAATGTGATGCAGGTTTGTGGAACAACATGCTGGCTTGGAGCCAGTCTCCCTCATAATAGCGCACACATCAGAGTTATCCATGTTAACGGCTCCTGGTTGACTTTAATTTTCCATCAGCCCATCACGACTTGCGATTAAATCATGCATAAAGTCCAACATTTCTACACCGTGGAGCAAAGCTTTCAGCAAGTGGTTTGAGTCTCCTTTTAATACTATCAAAAAGCTTTCAACGCAAAGTTAAACGGGAGCTGCTTGGAATAAAATATTTGATTTGGTACTTGAACAGACTTTGGGTAACATAAAACAGATTGAAGCAAATAAACTCACTACTTCCAGAATAAAACAGGTCAGAAGATTCCTTTAGGCTGTCACCCAAATGGAGATACATTTGTTAGAGACATTTGCATTTCCTTTTCTGTCTCTTTTTTCAAAGCTTACTTCCATTAGTCTTAACCCACGAAAGGTGAGCAGAACGTATTTCAGCATTTTCATTCAGTGAGGCAACACAATTCATTTCAATGACTGTTTCCTCTCCTCATGAAGCTTTAGCCAACCAAGAAATCTGCACACAAAGCTATGTAATCTTTATTTAAATTCAGAAGATGGCTGAATTAATAAATGATTCTTTTTTTTAAAAAAAAGTTCAGTTTAATTTACTTAGCCTAGAATCCGTTGAATAATACTACGGTTCAATACACATGCCTGCATATTTGTTCTATCAAGTCCCTTTACAGAATAGACTTGGTATTCCCAGCAGAGCCACAAATGGACAGTGTAGCACACTTTAGCAGCGAGGGCAATTCCCACACAGAGCGAGCTTAACAATAATGTATGCTGATAGAGATCAACGTAAATATAGAATCTCTTACCCCAGTTCATATTACAGCCGTCAATTTTTTTTTAAAAAAAGAGCCAAGCCCTTTGATACTTCAGCAAAATG